GTTAACATAGGTTTTGAATCAAAGTTTGTAACATATTTTGAGCAAATACACTCGAAGCCTGACTAAAGATCAAAGATTAGATAATTATGTGTCTAGCTTAACCTTTTATGATAAACTTGAGAGAGAAGACAAATGAACATTTAAGAAGGTTGCTAAAACATATATATGTGACACAGTTTTATATTTTTCTAGACGTACTAGAAAATTCATATATAAAAACAGTGTTAGTAAAGTTGGTCTCACTAAAGAAGATATATATATAACTTAAAAGATCAGACAATAGGTTAATGCTGATGTTTATTGTAAATATTAGAAATGAGAAACTTTTTCTTCAGTAAAGGGGATATGTGCAATCACAGCTTTATCTTTCTCAGGATGTGATCGTCCTGAAAAGGACCATTAAATTTCAATCATTTAACACAAATCATGTTCTTCAGAAGAAGAATATCCCTCGTCTTCACCATCTTCAGAATGAATCCTCATTTGAAATTCATTATGTCTATTCTGTATAACTTCAAGGGCTCACTGTAGTAGTAATTGGAAAGTATCTAAATGTTCAATCAAATGACAGTGTAAATAATAGACATCCCCATACACAAAGCAAATAGGATACTCACAAAATATTCACCACAAACTATACACTCGTGAATGTAAGTACAGTCTTGGCCAAAATGTTTGCATATTGTTCTATATTGATGTTATTGTCTACATGCATGGAGTATTTATGGAGTAAATGTCCGAGTAGTAACAGAGAAGGTAGCATATGATCAGACAAACATTTACGAGTTGTTATTCTGGTCTGTAAAAGTTGTTTTCAGCATTTGTTCTTCAAAACACAGATACACACTTGTTTTGTATAAAAAGGTATGCTTTTGATATAATCTTTTTCGAAACAGATCAACGCAAAGTTCAGACAATTTCTCTGTCTTTAGTGTAGAGCCATGCCTGGTCACGTTCCAGAAGTTATGGGGTGTCAAATTGTTCGACTGTCCAGAAATATTATGAAGCAAATGGACATTACTAAAACTGTAGGGTAATCACAGTGTACTGTATCCAGAATCCTAAAATGTCATTGCTATACAGGAAACTTTTTTCCAGGAATGGCTACTGGTAAACGCCAAAAAACTATTGCACGAGATGACCGTGTTTTGATCAGATTAACACCTCCAGGTCGAAGAAAGTCTTGCAACGACAGGAATGGCATGAACACATTCCTTCCAGGTTATCCAGAATAACAGTGAATATGAGGCTGACTAAACAAGGTTATTTTTCAAGAAGGGCTATCTGGAAACTGATATTAACCAGAATTCACCACTGTCACCATGTTACTTGGGCAAGACAGCATACCAACTTACAGTTAGGACACTGGCGACATGTTATATTTTCAGATGAGTCATATTTCCTACTTGTTAAAGCAGATGGTAGGATTCATGTTCGTTGTTTGCCTGGAGACCTGAAGAGGGAAGATTGTCTTTCCCACAGGAAACACACAGGAGGCAGTGCAGTACATGTTTGTACAGCTGTTCATCATGATAGAAAAACTGCTCTTCATATCCTCCAGAGAAATGGCGATGTTACCTCCTATAAGTATTACATGAAGACGATATTTCTGCAGGGTTTGACAATAACTTTGTGTTCCAAGATGACATTACCATTCTCCGCAGTGCACATATTGTACAAGATTATCTTGAACAGGAGGATGTTACAAGACTGCCGTGGCTAGCAAACTATCCAGATTGTAATCCCATTGAGAGCTGTTGAGCCGAACTGAGCCGGAAAATTGCTAACCACGACCCTAAACTAGCTACCGTAGCTGAGTTGCAGCGCCTTCTAGTGACAAGTTGGGATGAAATCACGGTGGATTACATCAATAAAGCATTGACAGCATGCCACGTTGCCTTGCAGAAGTTATTACAGTACAAGGAGGACCAACC